AAGGAAACACCACTGGTATGTGGTGAGCCAGAATTTGGATGCAGAGCCAGCATTCTTTCCACTAAAGCATACTTGCTACCACTTTAATTCCAAGCTCCAAAAGATATACTTGCTTTTCTGTCAGAGTTAATATTAAATAGTATGTTGTCATTAGAATAAAATTCAATAATAGCATCCATTTCTATATCACTTGAGAAAACATTTGTCATTGTGTAGTTTTTATTGGTAGATGATGTAAGTCTTCTAAGTCCCATTCACTATTCATAAAGCCACTATGCTGTTTTTCATAACTCCGATTTATTGAATGTCCACATAACTGTGTATGTAAAGAGTAGCTGGTATCTGATTCTCTCAAGGATTACTGAAGGTATTTCCGTTCATTCTAGTTTGCTTGGCTCTGTACAGTTCTTAGCATAAGAGCTGCCTATCTGTAATCGAAGGGCCAAACCAACCAACCAATTCTCCAGGAGACAGCTCTAGGAGAGCTAACAGAGTCTACACAATTAACCTAAAATCCAGGATCTAGATTAAGCACTTAAGACTAAAGCAGCAAAATAAATGGAATTGTTTTATTCAGAGCTGTATTTTTAATTGGTAGGCATTTGAAAAATCTTAAAGTCCCATAGTCAGAAGAACCTAACATTTCTATCTTTGAACTCCAAATCCTATCTCTTTTTGAGGACTCAGATAGATGTTAAGTAGTGACTTTTAAGTGGAAAAAGTCCTCATAATATACTTTTTATTATATGCAAGCTCAATTATTAGAATAATATTAATATATAGTAGTATATAAGGAGCCATGGTTGCATAATGGTTAAGTGCTCAGCTGCTAACCGAAAGGTTGACAGTTTGAACCCATACAGGGGCTCCAAGGGAAAAAGAACTGGCAATCTACTCCTGTAAAGATTACAGCCTAGAAAACCCTATGGGGCAGTTCTACTCTGTCATATGGGGTCATTATGAGTCAAAAATTCACTTGATGGCATCTAACAACAACAGTATTTAATATTATAATTTATTACATAATATATTATAATGTAATAATATTTATAATAATATAATTAAAATAAAACGCACATAAATTAATCATGAATATATGAACATGCATGGATAAAGTATAACATCACACTCTCAGATTTGTGTTTGCCAAAGAATACATGAATTTCTGTTTTAAGCCCTCTTGGCACATCCCACTTTAATATACCAGTGCTGTTGGACTGACAAATGCACACTCTTTTATACTTTACCTCTTAATATACTATATGCTGCTGTGCATTCATTAATATATGAGCAACAGCTGTGGCTAATTTCTCAGTAAAGTAGTTTTTAGTACTTGTGCTTTTATTATCTTTGGGATGTCAATGTATATTTCCACTGATTTTAAGCACTCCATATTTCCTTCCTGCTTTAAGTTAAGCAACCATACATTTCTTCTTTAAAGGGGCCATGCTGGTCCGCAGAATATTTCATCTTCCATTATTCTAAAAATAATGAGTTCGATTACTTTTTCATAAAACACACATTTCACTCTTTTTTAGAGAACTCTTCATCATGCGCCTACCACAATTTTGCTGTTCCCTTACTTCTATAAGAGTGTGTAAGGAAGGGCCTTTCTCCCACATTCATATTCCAGGGGAATGTCATCATTCAACAGGGTCAAATTGAAGGAAGGTAGATTTTGGAGTGAAATATGTGCTTACCATTTTCTTTTACTTAGAAGAGTATGTTAATGGTAAAAAAATAAATATATAAGTATATATATG